CTTAAACAGCTGAACGGATTTCGATGAAATTTTGTATAGAAGTAGAGGATAGTCTGGAAGAACACATAGGCTAGTCACTTTTGTTTTTTTTAATTCCACGCGGACGGAGTCGCAGACGAAAGCTAGTAATTAATACAGGGAATCAACCTAGTAAAGGAGCCAAGGATATAAATTTAAACAAAATACAGAGAGAAAAATTAAAAATGAAAAAAATCGTGAAATGTATTTGTAAAAGTTTATGTGAACTGTAATATTGTTTTGTATAAAAAAATAAAATAACAACAGTCAAATGCTCTAAACATCCGAAAATCGAAGTCCAACGATTGTGGCACTAAATGAAGCAAAACTTTATGCCGTAAAGACAAGAAAATATAGAAATTTGTTTAACTGGACCAGATAAGGATGATGTCATTGTTAAGAACGCGCACACTTTTGACTGAACTATCGCACAACTGTTTACTCTCGCATTGATTCTTATAAATTTATATGGAGTTGCGCACACTACTAGATTGTTAATTGTGCAACTAAACAGTTGAATTGGCTGCGAAACAATCGACAATCGCACTACAGTTGTGAGATAGTTTAGTCTAAGGTCTAGGTCTAAGGTCTAGCTCTAATCTTACCTGTGCAATACAGCCTTCACCAGAACACTACAAGGAGGTAGGTTGATTCAGAATAAATCTTAGTAATATTCAAAAAGTGGATGGATGAATGTTTTTTAAAGTTTGTAGCCTAAACTGAACAGATATCGATGGAATTTTGCATAGATGTAGGGGATATTCTGGAAGAACACATAGGCTAATTACTTTTTTAATTTCAAGCAGACGTAGTCGCGGGCGAAAGCTAGTAAACTAGAAATGAGGCCACGTCACTTAATGATACTTACGGAAGCTAGGCAATCATCACCACTGCACTGTAAAATTAGATGACGTATTACAACATCTACCACAATAGATGATGATGATGAAAACGATATTAAAAGCGCGTACACCATTGACTAAACTATCGCACAACTGTTTAGTCTCGCGTTGCATTCTATGAGCTTATATGGAGGTGTGCGCTACTTGATTTTGAGTTGTGTAACTAAACAGTTGAAGGCTGCGAAACAATCGACAATCGCACAGCAGTTGTTCGATAGTTTAGTCAAAGGTGCGTCCGCTTTTGAACTTACCACAGCGTTGCAGTTGGTACCATCGCACTGAAAATAAATTTAAAATTATAATAGTTCTGTGGTGTATATGTGGGTGTGCCAATATAATGTACCGTCAGTAATATGAATAATAAATCAGTCCAATACCAACCGCCGTTTCATTAACACCCTTACATTACATTTTTTTTTACTGGACTGATTTATTATTCATATTACTGACGGTACATTATATTGGCATACCCACATATACACCACAAGTTCTATTTCTATTCTACGAGTATATGAAATAAATCGAATTGTACTATGATAAAATGTATAGAAGGATTAGCTATGGTACACAATAAATATACTAGTATATTTTATGTCAGTGTATGTGTATATTTTTCGTATAATATCTGTTCTTTTCACTTACAGAAACTTGACATGCGGCTCCAACACACTGTAAATAGAGTACATAAATTTTTACATATTAATATTATAAATGCGAAAGTTTAGAAGGATAGATGTTTGATAGAGTTTGTAGCCTAAACGGCTGAACGGATTACGATAAAATTTGGTATAGATGTAGAGAATAGTCTGGATGGACAAATA